GACAATGTGTCAGTAACATTTAATATTTCATTATTGTTTTATTCAGGTGCTGGTTGATTGTTAACAGTTCTTTACAACAACGTGTCAGTAACATTTAATATTTCATTATTGTTTTATCCAGGCGCTGGTTGATTGTTAACAGTTGTTTACGACAATGCTGGTTGATTGTTAACAGTTGTTTACAACAATATTTAATATTTCATGCTTGTTTTATTCAGGCGCCTTCCTCTTGCCTTACTTCCTGAGCATTATCCTTTGTGGAATACCACTATTTATAATGGAAGTGTCTATAGGCCAGTACATGAGCACTGGAGGAATTGCAATATGGAACTTAGTACCCGTACTAAAAGGTGAGACGGTAAAAAAACCTAAAAAGAAGACAGTAGAAAGATCGAACTTAACATAATTTATGATAAATCGAACTTAACATAATTTATGATAAATCAAACTTATCATAATATATGATAGATCGAACTTAACATAATTTATGATAAATCGAACTTAACATAATTTATGATAAATCAAACTTAACATAATATATGATAGATCGAACTTAACATAATTTATGATAAATCAAACTTAATATATGATAGATCGAACTTAACATAATTTATGAGAGAGCGTACTTAACATAATTTACGTAAGTATGTCAACCATTAAAATTTATTGTACAATTACTTTATCGCTTTGTTATTTTGTTGTAATCAACGTATTATATTAACTTAATCGTAAGTGATACAAACACCCAAAGTAATATGAAAAAAAAAGAAACTTAAATTAAAATGAAATAATCGCTACGACATTCAAAATTTTTTATATAGCCAGTTATAATTTATTCAGCGCCACGAAGAAGTCTTGCCGCTAGGGGTTAACGCAATGTTGAGGGAAAATGTTGACACTTTGTTTTGAAGGTCGATCATGAGTGGCGTTTTTGATATATTGTCTATTTAGGCCTAAAGGTACTTGATAATTTGGCTCTGAAGCCCTATATGAAATGTTGAAGCTATTCTACTTAAAGAAATACCTCCGCCAGAACTTGGCCTCACAGTGTACGGAGTATCAAGTCTTATCCTCCGCCAGAACTTGGCCTCACAGTGTACGGAGTATCAAGTCTTATCCTCCACCAGAACTTGGCCTCGCAGTGTACGGAGTATCAAGTCTTATCCACCACTAGAACTTGGTCTCGCAGTGTACGGAGTATCAAGTCTTATCCTCCGCCAAAACTTGGCCTCAGTACGAAGTATCAAATCTTATCCTCCACCAGAACTTGGCCTCGCAGTGTACGGAGTATCAAATCTTATCCTCCACCAGAACTTGGCCTCGCAGTGTACGGAGTATCAAATCTTATCCTCCACCAGAACTTGGCCTCGCAGTGTACGGAGTATCAAGTCTTATCCTCCACCAGAACTTGGCCT